CATGGCTCACCTTAACCAAGTCATTCCCACATCAAACTCTAAATTAGACATACTGAGTGCCTCGTTATGCTGTTACCCACCACTGTGCAATCGCGCTTGCCAGAGAGTGGATTTCAAGGAGATCTGTGTGGGATTGAGTGCCTGGAAAACCTGGCAGTCCTGTCCCATTCACCACTTGGTATCATCACTCATATCAACCCCGCGTTGTCACTCAGGGGTAGCAAGGATGTGCAGGTCCTCCCTGCCCAAAGAACCACAGAGTTGGCAAATGCCATTTTTCTGTACTGTTTTTGCATGCCATGTTCTTTACCCCCGACTTTGCTGTAGGGAGTTTGAGTACACACTGCCAGCAAAGTACAAAATGCCATCAAACTCACGTCAGTGCCATTTTAAGTACCTTATAGCGATGTCAGAGATTACGTTAACTCCAGTGCCAAATGAATGAGGCTTCTTATTCCTTTCAGTCCCCACTGCCACAGTATCCTGGCTGAAAGACTAATTGATCCTCTGCCTCAACTCCTTCCTTTTTCTTTCCTTTTGGTACAGATTTTTCCTTAGCTTGCAAACCGAGCTGAGCTCCCAAGAGGAAGGGAGGAGAAGCACATACTGCTGTAATCTTGAAGAGCCGTATCCCAGGCAAATACTTAACTTGCTTGGTTCCTTGCAGTGAGATAAGCTTTGCGATCTGCACACACCCACTAGTCCACTTGCCGTGATCCTTCCAGCTTTCCTTGTTCCACCAGGACCCACCTCGCCCTGCCTCCCCCTCCTCTCCGCTGTAGGCAGGCATCTCCTTCCAGCTGTGGTGTTCTCCCAGGAGCAGGCAGCAACAGATGCCTCCGCTCATTCCCAGTGGAAACAACACCATTATCATCACCCATGTACAAAACAAACCTCAGAAGAACTTTCATTTTAACCAGAAATTACCCACTCAGCAGCCCTGAAATTGGCCTCATTGCTGCTGAAGCACCCTGGTGCACCATCAGCAGCAGGGTTTGGTAAAGTCCGCAGGTGTGTGCAGCCTTAAAAGTTAAATGAATCGTGGTTTCGGTAGTGGTAAAACACTAACTTCACTATGCACAAAACTTCGAAAGAGCGCTGCTGGCCTTCCAGCTGATGACACCCATGCAAAGCTGCTGGGGTTCCAGGTCTCCACAGGGTTTCGGTGGCTCAGCTACCGCTGTGCTTCTGCCAAAGGGAAAGAAATCTGCAGACTTCACGATGAGATCTTCTCTGCCTGGCTGCTGGGAAGCATCCCAGTATTTCACTGCAAAACAAGATGCCTGGGGCCCTCCTAAAATACCTGCAGCTTATCAGCTCTGCTCTAAATAATAAGGAAGCCAGAACTCAATACCTAACAAATATCTGTAAGAAGAAAACCATTTATAAAAATTGTTTTAAAAAAGACTCTTGGTAAGGGTGTAGATAGTCTCCATCAGATGGAGATTTCCATCCAGCTATATGAAATACACACTGCTAAAAATGTGATGCTACACATTACACCTCTAAAATCATCCATCTGTGCCTGCAGACCAAGGAACTGCATGGTACTACAGGTTCTACCAAAATGAACAGCAAAAACCTCCCTGCAGACCCCAATGCCTCTCAGCCAGTCCTCTCCCCTGTCAAGTCACTCCCAGGATGCTCGGTCTGGTCGTGTATCTGCCCGCTCTCACCTGAAAACTCGTTCCATGCCAACGGTGGGACCTCAACCTAACCCAAAACATCTGCATAGCGCTGGGTGGTGCTAGTGGAGGAGCTGCAACTCCCCCAGCCACTCCTCCTTAATTAATCCTCCCGTTCACCCAGTAGAGATGAAGGCTGGTGCATCCAAAGGAACACCAGGGAAAGTCAGTGGGATTCAGGCACCTCACTCCTGGATGTTGCCTGGAAACAGTACACAAACACCTGAATACAACCTAAGGTGGCTTCCAGTGACACCTCCTGGGACCTGGGGCCCCTCTCTGCTCCATGTGAACCAGCATCTCCAGGGAGCAATTTCAGGATTTTCCTCCCCAAGCGTAAGACCTGGGTGATACCTGAGACTCCCCATGTCCTCCTTGAAAGCCCACATAAATCAAGTCAGCACTTCAAAAGCACTCCTGGAGAACCCAAACTCCTCCAGAGACACGTGCAGCCCACGCTGCTCACACATAGGCTACTATTTAAAAACAGAAAATTCTTGGCTTTGTTTGCTTCTTTCCTTTCACTCACTATACATACTCTGAGTAGACAAATGGATTTTGTACAGCAAGCTGGTGCTGACAGATAACCAGACTGTCTGTTACTCCTCAGCAGAGCATCTTACCTATGTTATGCCTAGTCCCTAGCTTAACCTTTCCTAGGCTTTCATTTACAAATGCTCATTTTCACATAGTGAAGGAAAAAGCAGTTCCTTTACTGCGATCAGAATTAATTGTTCATGATAAGTATCTGGTCTAGCCAGAGACAGAATGAAGGACTGTACGTTACTAAGACAGGCAGGCAGACCCATCTTAACAAATCTCCTTGTTACAAAAGCGGCACCCAAAATAAGGAGAGCTGAAAGCATTTTAGATAAAACACTTTGGTCATCTGTACTTCAGTCCTGGTTTCATTTCCTGGCTGTGATGTACTGCAAAGCTGCTGCATTAGACTTCCCTTCACCCGGGGAAAGTCTGCAACAAAAAAACCCTGTTGATCCTTTTTATCACTATTGCATAAAAGTATTTATTTTCCATCCTAAAATTTGCTAGCTTGAGGGCAGGGAATAGCAAAGACAGATTCAGAACACCAGCTGGGTCCTTTATTCCCCCAAAGGAAGTAAAGTAACTGTGAAAAAATGAAAATAAAAGTGAGAAAGAAAGGGGGAGGAGGCCCAGAATTAAAATACCTCCATACTTGCCCCTTCCCGCTCCTTGGTCCTCCACAGGGCAGATTTGCCAAGCCTTCCTTCACAAAGCTGAGGCTCCACAAAGTGTTACTTCTTCCTTTGCTGTGACTGCATCCTTTCGTTTTTCCCTCTCCCCCATCACTCTCGTCCTTCCCCAGTTTCTCAGACACTACACCCCGGTGTAAAACCTCCTGCCAGGAGGACGTCAAAAGACCTCACCAGGGATGAGGCTGCCTCCATCTCTCCTCCCTCACCAGGGCTCACCAGTAACTCAGCCGCCTGACCGGCGGGACTCGTGGTGCTGCCAGAATTACTCCTGCTTCACTGCAAATTTCCCGCAGGACGAAAGCCTCCCCCTGGCGCTACCCCCTATTTAGTGACAAAAATGTAAAAGTAATCTAACCACCAACTAGATCCCTCTGCTCTCTCACTCTATCCCCACGCACATTTCGGACAAGGCATGATCCAGCCAGTTTACTTACACCGTGAGGAGAAGACACACACAGCAGGGTTTGCTGAAGAGACCCCCTGACATGTCTCCACTGCAGCTGAATGCCGCCTCCAGCAAAATAGTCCCATTTTTGAGCACCGCCTCCCACGAGACTCTTGTCCCAACCCCATCTTCATTACCAGCTCCTTGTCACAGCGTTCAGCCCTCCCTCCCCAGACGAAGCTTCCTGAGCTCATTCAAACCGTGCGCTGCCCGCACGGGACAGAAAGCACCAAAACACATTTCCAGGCCAAAACGCTCCAAGTACAGCGACTCAACACACCACTTTTCTGCAACAGAACAAAAACACGTCTGCCCTGCCACGAGGCTGAATCCAGACTTAAGAGACTGAGATAAACAATCCCAGCATGGCCCTCTGCGGGCAAGCACCACCACCTCATGCCAAGAAACACGTTTTGTTAGGCAATTTGCAACCAAGCACTCGGTGGTTCCTCCAGCTATGTCCCCGAAGGTTGGGGTGAAGCCTGTGGCCACTCCTGTGTGCGCAGACCGCCGCTGAGCCACCCACTGACCCCACCAGGCAGGACCTCATGCAGCCTCAGATGCAAACCCTTCCTCTGCACCAGGCTGAACAGCTTAATCAGTCCCTGCTTCTACTTCTGTGACCGTGGGTCTAAAATTGTGAGGCAAATCCATACAGTAGACCTGCTCCCATCGTTTGTTAAATTAACTGTGGAATTCTCAGCCTTCCCAGCAACTTTGGGTTTCCTTCTTCCAAAAGCTGAACTATCTCATCTCCTATTAAATCGCAAAGTGGCACAGCAGGGAAAGGAAGCGCTCGATTTGCCCCTGACCTTCTGCCATCCTGTGGTGGTAAATCTGTTTAATCCAGCAGGACATTTAATATTCTCTTTGGGAGATCCTTGCATGTAAGCTGTCCCTTTCCACTGCCAAGCACCAGCAACACCTCTGGTGGCAGTCTGGTCCACTCGTGGACCTGAGATGTAGGGAGGAATGTGCCTACTGCCTGTTTTTCTGCCATCTTCAGGATGCACCGATCCTTTCAGACCTGATGGGGACCAGCACCTGCGGGCGGGGGGAAATCTTGGCAAGTTTGGGAAACCACCACCCTTCCCATCCCCAAGCAACTCCTCTTCAAACGATCCCGCAAGCATTCCTGGCCATGGCCACCTCCATGGGGGGAACCACCAAGCCTCTCCGAGCTCTGAGCCCATCCCCGTGCCCGCAGAGTATGCAGGCATGACTCCTCCGCAGGCTGGACGGCTGCCTTCCCGCTCACGCATGGTTGTGCTGCGTACTTTTAGGACAGGGAGAACCAGGAGTACTGACAAGAAAAGGAAAGTGCGTCCCTGCCAGCAGCGAAGGGCACTTCAAAAGATGCTGCTCCAGCTTCTCCTCAGCGCTGTCCTCCCTAAAGCTGCTAAACTACTTTTGCTTTAAAATTTAAGAGGTCAGATTAAAGAAAAAAAGTGTCGCAGGAGGAAGAGCCTCCAGTCCCTGTGATAAATAAAAGTGGAATAACAAAAGAACCCCCCAAGCAACTGAAAAGGCATAAGCAAGCAGGCGTACGGAGACACGCAACCCCGCAGGTGCAAACCCTGCAGTGACACTTTGCAACGAACCCTTCTGACGCCAACTGGCGGACTGCCTCCTTACCAAAGTAATCGGCCTTCGGCCGAGCATCCATCTCCTGCTCCAGGCGCTGGGTCAGTGCCTCCAGCTTCAGCTCGGCCGCCGACGGCCCTTGCTCCGGCTGCGGAAGGAGGGTCTGGCAGGGCAGCTTCACCTTCACTGTGCTGGAGCCCTCCGGGTGCCCGGCGTCCGACCGTGGTCCACTCGCACCATCTGGGAAAGGCGGCTGTGGTGCATCCGGAGCCACTGGCCCGCGCGAGGCCAGGCGTGAGGAGCCTGGCTCGGGGCTCACACTGCTGCCATTGGGCCGGTGGTTTTGACCATGGGCCACGAAGTGGCCGGCTGGGCCGGGGTAGGCGGTGGCATGCTGGTAGTCCACGCTTGGAGCGGCGGGCGCAGAGCTGGTGGGGAAGGACAGC